TGATGAAAATGTTATTCTGGAAAAAATCTAATCAAGTAATTAAGCATTGGACCTCGAAGCTAAAATAATTTCGCCTGGGGCACATTTTTTTTTTTCATGGAATAAATTGCAGGAGGTCCTTGCCCCCCTGCTGATGCATAAAGGCGTCCCTGCTTATTTCTTGACAGTTTTTCATCATTATTCGTGCCGACATTCAAATTATATGGGCTGTAACGTGTTTTGCTCCGAATCACGGATTATGGAGATTTGTTTAAACAATCTTTTAACGCCTGGTGCTACTGCTAAGTACGCTAAAATGGCATTTTATTAGGAAAATAATCGAGTTTCATCTAGTATAAAGTATTTCAGGTTTGAAAACATTTGTGAACAAAATTGTTTTGCCGGACAACGACATGCTTTTAATGTTCTGGTCAAAGTAATTTTTCAAAAACAAAACAACTTTTATATATTATTTCTACGATAACAATAATGCGCGGTTTTACCTGGAATATCATAATATGTAACAGTTCCATAACATTCTGTTCATAAATAATTATTATTGTAATGATATGTATAGTGGCAATATGTCTCAAAAATTGTACTAGTTTATTTGATGAAAAATAAACCTAATATATGCATTATGGCCTCGGTTTTACGTTGACGCTTTTGTATTACAAATCAGTAATATTGACCTTACTACTTTTCCTGGGTAATTTCCTGTTAATGACTATAATATTAATAACAGACTCTCTTCAATTCAATATAATCAGGTTTAGACGGTGAAAAATATTTTCAATGATAATATTCAACACTGAAATTTCACTGCATTATCTAATAAGATTCAATACATGCAACAGCATGTATACGTTCTTATCTTGAAAGTCAATTTTTGCAAAGTTGTGCAATCTGATGTGCACATACACTAACTACATGGTTAAATAACGTGGGGGATAATTGATGATTATCATAAATATCCAAATCAGTGAAATATACACTCAGTTCCAAAAAAAGTGATGCTCTTGATATTTGACCAATCTTCTTGAAAAAAAAAAAAAAAATAGTAGGCCGATTTTTTTTTAATTGTTGGTAGGTACTGCATTTGTCTTTAAAAACAAAATAGAGAGGTAAAAATGTTTTCAAAGCCCCCTTGATGGTGGTGGAATAACTCGAACCATGATTTATTCTTAATTTTTTACTCACCCTGTGTGTTAATTGAGTAATGGTATACGAAGTGCTTACACTCTATACGAAAGAGGCTTCTTTTGCGAGCATTTTGTTATTTTGTTCATTGATTTATCATTTATTATTTCCGAATTACAGCTTTTTTGCTGATACCTTATGCTTATCCCTCAATTTAAATTCATTGAAGGATCAGAGTACTTCTTAGAAGCTACTGGTATTACCACATTACAATGGCCTGCGAGAAGCCCCGATATGAATACTATAGAACATTTGTGGGATGAATTAGGGAGAAGGGTACGTTCTCGCGAGAGGTCTCCGGAAAGTCTCAGTATGCCTCGTAGATTAGAAGTTCTTAGAGTTGCTAGAGGAGGCAATACACGGTATAAAGCAGTCATCCCAATTTATAATTTTGTGTTTAATGAAAATGTTTTTAAAAATTATTGGTATCAGTTTATTTCATTAGAAAATTGTTTCTCGATAAATTCAGAAAGTTGGTAATCTGCAAAGATTCAGCAAAAAAAGCTGTAATTCGGAAAATTTTAGAGATAAATCAATGAATAAAAAAACAAAATGCTCGCAAAAAAACCTCTTTCGTATAGGGTGTAAGCACTTTCTATGCCATTACTCAATTAACACACAGGGCGAGTCAAAAATTAAGAATAAATCATGGTTCGAGTTATTCCACCACCATTAAGAAGGCTTTGAAAAAAATTTCACCTCTTTATTTTTTTTACAAAGGCAAATGCATTACCTACTAACAAAATCGGCCTACTATTCTTTGTTTTTTTTAAGAAGATAGGTCAAATATCAAGTGCATCACTTTTTTTGGAACTGAGTGTATTTCCGCTCTCCCCATTATACTTCAACTTAATACCTATCAAGTTTTTTCAATGAGTTCACTATACAATCATAATCTAGATCTGACTAATCCTAGAAATTAGCACTTGAAAATGAGAGTGAAGGTGATTTCTGTTGATAAACCTAACCTATAAGTCGTTAGTAGTACATATTTACATCAAGATACATACTATGAGAACTAGAAAAAAAAGTCACAATTTAGATTAATCCCACTTCAATATCGTGCGGTACTCACTATCGATAAAAGATATCATGTGATTATACGGTGCTTTCCTTTAATGCCCCCTCCCTTAAATTTTTTGAACGAATCGACTGAAAAAATTGAAACTTGGAGTGAAAATGACAGATGAAAATTTCAAGATGGCGACTGGGTGCCATCTGGGAAAAAAACAAATGGAAGCTCCTGACGAATACTTCACAACCCTAGAATATAAAGTCAATATCTTTACCTACTACAAAATGGCGGAACATTTAATAGTTGCTGGAATACAAACACATCATTATGGATATTGTATTCCACATCAAGATGGAGCACCACCACATTACTCCTGACCAGTTAGAAACATTATGATAACACTTTTTCCGGAAGTTGGATTGGCCGTCAAGGTCCTACGGAATGGCCAGCCCGCTCGCCAGATTTGACATCTTTGGACGTGTTTTTATGGGGCTATTTGAAGCAAAATGTATCCGAAACTGCACAAATATTTGTAGAAATATCGACGTAACTGTGTTCGGAAGGTGTCAGCGAAAAATATCAGATAGGCTGTTCTAATGTCAAGAAGTCAAAGGCAACCATTTCGAGCATCTTCTTGCCACGTTGAACATTGAATTATATCTGTTGAACATCCAAAGGGAGAAAATGAAAAATGAAAATACTCTGAAATTGAGAATTGACATTCTCTCTCTAATCGGATAAAATAAAATGATGTATTATGATATAAAAATATAACTTACCAATACGTTCAGTATTGAAATGATAATTGAAATGTATTGAAGTATGCTTGTATAAACTCTGATGAATTATTTGCTGTATGTATATTGTGTTTTATGGTTTGCCTATAACATTAACGATTCGTTAATGGAAGATAAATAATTAGCAAGAATGTGTATTTTATAAATCGACCGAAAATTGGTTTTTGAGTCAGTGCACTTTTGAGTTTAACGCGAATCACAAAATTGTTACAACAGTGTTATACTTTTAAATTACAACGGCAACATGGAGAAGATACAAGTTAAATTGTTGGAGAAGATCATTTGTTCAACAATTATTTCTTAAAACTTTGATATATTCATTAGTTTGCAGTTTGCAGAGTGTAGGTCCCTTTTTTTTTTTGATTTATCAAGGTGCATTTTCTGATGTAGAAAAAATTTCATTTCCTCTACCGGTGGCGGGGTATGGTGGATATCATTTTATACTATACAAGGTAGACAAAAAAATTATGTGTGCACATTTCCAATTCTAATACCCTGTATCTCAGAAGTTGGGACCTTTTGCGACATACGTTCATATGAAGTTTCCCCCTTGAATATGAACTTTAAAATAAAGGAACACCTTGTATAAAGCGTGTCTCACTTCAAACGCCCCCCCTTCTATATCTCAGCTATCATTCGTATGATTTTTACCAAATTTGGACTGGTAGGAATAATGATAATGAATAATATGATCAGTTTTTCAGAGCGAAGATCAACATGAACAGTGCCGTGCGTTTTTATTGAAATAAACAGGGATACGTTTTTTGCAGGAAGACTAACTTTATTGTACGCTTCATTCCAAATTACCAGGATCGGTTTGGAACTCTCTAGTTTCATGTCCACGATGTACAGAATGGCGACCGTCAAAGTCCAAGTCGTTTTCATTTTCAAATTGGAGCAATTTCTAATTTTCTAATATAGCGAGCGAATAGCTAACGAATGAAACACGAATGAAAAAAATAGAAGAAGTAAAACTGGTGAACAAAACATACATAACCACAAATGCAGTCGGAGCAGAAATGCAGAGGGTAGTTGGCTTCATTCTGACAGGTTTTGGTTTTGTTATATATCATTAAATCACTGAATCACTATCGGTTACATTCAATGATACTATCCTTCCAAATTTACTGTCATCGGTCAGAACAGAATGAAGTCGACACCCATGGCTTCTTCCTCTTGTTGTGCCTGTCAGTATTTTGAGTGGTGTGGACGGACTCAAAGTATTAGTCGCTGTTGCAGGATATAATCTGCAATTTTCCTAGAAAATAGATCCGTTTTATTAGGGAACGAATTCATCAGCAAAAAATGACTGACAAGTTATGAATAACATATTGTAATATAACGATAGTGAAAAATTATAGATTCTATCGCAAAATATCATAATTTATCATTATTAGTAATCAACTTCATTCAGCCAATGAGAGATTTATGGGAATTATTCATAATACTTGACAAAATAGGATTGAAGAACCTATTATACCTATCTCATTGCTGTTATGATATAGTTATTATGCATTCAAAGAACAATTTCTGGAAATCTAGACATATTGATAATGTCGGCAACGTCGTACTGGCACAGGGAATCGTATTTTAACTCTGTGTGAATGTGGATTTGCAGAAAGTACGTCACAGGAATGGTGGAGGAGCCAAGTTCCTCTTTTATTTATTTTTTTCTGAAGTGAAATTTGATCTTACGAAAAAAAGAAAAGATACGTATATATTATTTTTTTACTAACTTCACAGTGAGATAAGAACCCCAATATAGAAAACTTCCCCAATCGACCCCTTTTTTCATTTCCATAAAATTACACGTCTCTGAAAAACTGATCAAATTGACAGTATTTCATACCAGTGTCCATTCTTTCCTCACTATTCGTGTTGTTTTGCATCGAAAATGCGATAACAAAATCCTCATAAAAAATATAACGAACGCCTCGGATTACCTACTGAGTACTGATTATCAGTGTTGTTGAACATTGACATTGGCGGTGATAATGAACTATGTTGCAGGAATTCCCTGGCTTTTTCGCCAGACCATGAACGATTTCGAATCGAACGTCAGTTTGCCGCAGATCGAGAAAATCCGCGTGTACAACACGAGATGGCTCGTCTTGGCCATTTTCGTCGCCTTCAGCGCCTCCAACGGCATGCAATGGATCCAATTTTCCATCATCACCGACGCCGTGGTGGGGTACTACAAAGGGGTGTCCAACACCCTGGTGGATTGGACGTCCATGGTTTATATGGTGTTGTATGTGCCGTTCATATTCCCGGGTAGCTATTTACTGGAGAAATTGGTGAGTGAGGGTTGTTTAGCTGTGTGTGCACGTGTATACAGGGTGAGTCATGAGGAACTGTACATACTTCAACGACGAATAGAGGCCTCTGAGGGGAATACCTAGGTTGGAGCCGAACAAAATTGATCAGAATACGCCTTCAGTAAGGTTTCTTACTAGCAGAAATCGATTTGCAGTAGTCGAAAAACACCTTGAGTACCTGATGAAATATTTTGCCAGGCCGTAGGAGGGATGCTAAAAGGGGTAAATATCAGGGAAAAAAATCATATCTCCTTCAAATGATGATGTTAGGGTTTCTAACTAGCAGAAATCGATTGCTCTGATCGAAATACACCTCGAGTACCTATTTAAATATTTTTCCTACGACTACCACTGTAAGTGATGGATATTGTACACAAAACAATGGCAGTAAGCTTCTCCTTACACACGTGTGCGTAAAGAGAGCGATCGCACGGTTTTCATAGGTATGTTGATAGATGACTTTGTTTTGTTGCTTAGGCGATGTGTCGATAACAATTAACGATTTCATTAATGTCACTTGCTAGGTGGGTAGGATGTTGGAAAAAGCTAAAATGGTAAAAAATTAGTTGCTACCCGCTAAGTCTTGTGAATAATACGAAATAGCACATCAAAAATTCCTGGACTGGATAATTAGAAATAATAACGTGTCATTTTCGGAAAAATCCTTTTAGTAAATTTTCAAGAATAATCAAATTCGATGAAATCATCATCACTCTGGTCGATATATTCCATGTTACGATCAACACTAAATATCAATCACAATATTAATATAGCAACATATTATCCCATATTCTCAAAAGGGAAGGATGGATTCCGAAGTAAAATATTAAAAATACTCAATGCTGAACAGATCAATTATTTTCTGCAGAATGCTCCTGTTGAAGGTAATTTTTCTAATAACATACATACTCAACATTGAATTGATGAAATCCTTTTTCTTTAAATAACAGCAATAATTAAAAAAGATCAATCTTCGAAATTATATTAATAAAATATCTACTAATACGGAGAAATGGTGGTAGCTCAGTTGTTGGAAGCGCTGGCTCCGAACCCAAAGGTCGGTGGATCAGAGCGCAGTTGGGAGAACTTTTTTTTATTATTTTTAATAACGATTACAGAATCTCTCGATCTGCACTGTTACAAATATATAACCATTATGAATGATAATTTTATATTTTTAAACAATGTGTTTTTTGCTACCTATTAATAAAGCTGTTTAGATATGAAAAACGGCTCCATTTCAGTTCGAATTGAGGAAAATGTCTCGGTATGCAACGTATCAATAAACAAACACAAGAATTGTGATATGTAACTTTTCATGCATCTGGCTTAGTGACGGGAGACGTTTCATATTGGTATTAGATATTTGTGCCATAATACAATATCTGCACTATCCGGAAGAAAATATAGTGTAGTCGTAGAAAAAGTATAGTACAATTCTCGAGTTGTAAAGCAATTACGCACTTGTGGAGTTACACACTCGCCGCTATGCGGCATCGTGTGTAACTCTCTCCACTTCGTGCGTAATATGCGTTTTACAACTCTTGTTATGTAATATACTATTGCCAGGCCGTAGGAGGGATCCTAAAAGGGGAAAATATCAGAAAGGGCAGGGCAATCGATTTCTGCTAGTAAGAAACCTTAACATCGTCATTTAAAGAAGTTATGAATTATTTTCTTATATTCACCCCTTGTAGCATCCCTCCTACGGCCTGGCAAAATATTTAAATAGGTACTCGAGGTGTATTTCCACCAGAGCCATCGATTTCTGCTAGTTAGAAACCTTAACATCATCGAAAAAGAACAGTCTCAGATATATTTATGAACAAAAAAAATGGATATATACAGTGTGTGCGATTTCAACCCGCAAAACCCTCCTAATTCGGAACCAGTCGAGCGATTTTCAGAAACAAAAATTCCATAATATGCTACTCAACGAGCTTTATTCGAGAATGTAGAAAAATTTTAAATATTCAGATTTCCAAGCATAGCTGAAACACCTCCATACGAAATTTGAACGCAAAATCTCATATAGGGTGTAAGTTATTCAATGGCAAATTTTGATATTTCTGATTTTTCGAATCACCCTGTATCATACTCTGAGGAGTGAAGTTGTTATTCAATAGTGACACATCGAATACATAGGTACGAAGTTTCATCGCTGTAACTTCTACAGGAAGATCTCTGTAGATCAACCAAAAATCAATAAAACTAAAGTTGAGATTCACAATTCACATTCACATTCACACATTCAATTGAAACAAATTATAAATTGAGATTTTTGACCACCTTGTATCAATTTCAATTGAACACCAATTGATAGTGAGTGAAAAGTTGAGATAGGGACATGTGAACCGTTTTGACGAATAATGAACAGTTTCGACAGAAAAAAATTCTGAACTTGGAAAATCTCGATATTGCACACCCTATATGTCAGTAACTTTCACTGCTAGACCCTAAGTATGATGGGTCGTTGAAATCAGATCTTCAGGAATAATTCAAAAATGAAATAAAATATAGGGTGTTCCAATGAAAAAAACATAGCTTCTTGATGTGCTGTGACCTTACGGAACACCCTGTGTATTTCAAAGAAATTTTGAAATGTGAAGCTCGATTATTACTTCAATTTTGATACATGACTTTTTTTTGTATCTCTCAAGACAACAGAGAAATCGAAATCTGGAGTCTTAGTTGGCCACCCTGTACATATAGAAAGAAATACATTGAGAATTCTCATTCTCCATGTGATCAAAATATCAATTATTTCACGGTTTATTCAACAGAAAACAACTGCTTTCCTGGCTATATGCCACGACGAATATTGAATTACATCTATTGAACACACACGATGAGATATGATTTTTTTTCTGATATTTACCCCTTTTAGCATCCCTCCTACGGCCTGGCAAAATGTTGTATTAGGTACTCAAGGTATGTTTCGACTATTGCAATCGATTTCTGCTAGTTAGAAACCTCAACATCGTCATTCAAAGAAGTTTTTTTTTTCAGATTTTCACCCCTTGTAGCATTCCTCCTACATCTTGACAAAATATTGCCACACTTACTGAAGGCGTATTCTGATAAGAGCTATCAATTTTGTTCGGCTCCAACCTCAAACTGTTCATCCAACTGGATTTCTGGAATTTTTTCTCAAATACATACTTTTTCTCAGTGTATATTTGTGGAAGTGACTAGTAGGTATAAGCAAAGTTGTATAAGTATTCTGTTCAAATTTCAGTATTTGTAGCCTACGGCTCGGCCTAGAATTATGTCCAAAAAACAGTATTTTCCGGACTTGTTTTACGTAAATTACTATTTCAGGGTTTGCGTAAATCTGTGCTGATAGGCATAGCAGGCACCTGCCTAGGTTCCTGGGTGAAACTGGGCTCGGTCCACGAGGACCGATTTTGGGTGGCCTTTGTGGGACAGACCGTGGTGGCGTTGTCCCAAATTTTCGTGCTGTCAGTGCCGTCCCGACTGGCGGCAGTTTGGTTCGGCCCCTCCCAAGTTTCCTCTGCTTGCAGTATAGGAGTGTTCGGCAATCAGGTGAAATCAGTTCTTCAACTAACTAGTGTATTGATGATAATAATCGTTAATCTCCTTTTCAATTAATATACGAGTTGGTTACAACTTTTTTCTGACGAATTTAATCATCCTGCTATGAAGAATTCATTATTCGGGGGTAAATACATACCTAAGGGGTAATGTTTTTATCGATAAATACATGTTTGATTGTATGAAAGTTTTATTGTTATGGCAAACAATCGAGAATCAAGATAGTGAAAAGATCGCGAGAGCTTGCTCGAGCGATTTTTTCTACTTTCCTTGATTCGAGATTTTTTGCCAAATGAAGATATAAAATTTTAATACAATTTGAAATGCATTTATCAATAAAAACATTTCTCGCATGTATTTTAGAGAGATCAAAACAAAACTATAGTATAAAGACAATTTGGTTTGAATATACGTGTTAATAAAACTCGAAAATTATCTGACGGTGACAGTTGTTGTCAAAATATAGAAGTTACCGATTATTGGGAAAGTAAGTTAGCTTTCTATCACTACAAATGCTTGGTGATTGGTTGGTTATAGGAAATTGAAGAAATTCCATTGGTCTTCAGAATAGGCGTGTATGAATCAGTAGCCATGGAAGTCAACTTGTCAGTGACATTAGTGACACTTGACATTTGTCGACATTATCAACTTGGAAAATAAAATCCTTCAGTGTTAGAAAACAGGAATTAATGAAATCGGTCCAGAATCGTAGGAACGCTAAATACACCTTCCGTAAGTTATGAATCCCAACAGTGAAACGACGTGGTGTATGTTGGGTTGCCTGTACCACAATAGACTAATTTATCGTTAATAGAAATTATTAACGATCAATTTCGTCTACATAATTCAAACTTGTTAATACTAAGTTGACGGAAATGGTTAATTTTATCAACATAGTAGGTACAAAACAATAATTTGTAAAACTTTGGAACAATCGAATAGATAGTACTCTGCAGATCGTTGTTTTATTATAATGGCAGTCGTTCATCTCCCACTCTATTTCATATAATATCCGGTAGCAGTGAAACAATAGGATCGCCAAATTATTTTTATTAGCGATCCCCTTGATTCAAACCAATTTACCAATTGGCTTTTGGCCAAATCTGTATACAGAGTCACCCAAATAAAGTAGGCATCAAGAAAACTTGCCATTCTATAGTGAAAAAAATCTAATAAAGACAGGAGTTTTGATGGAAAAATCTTGAATAGCTTTCAAAATAAAAATACTTTTAGTTCCCTAATTTAAACAATGTTGTATCTTTAATGACTATGGGATTATTTGAACATAATTTTTCAGCTTGGGATAGCTGTAGGATTTCTTTTGCCGCCAATATTTGTCACTGCCAATAGTAGTCATGAGGAAAATACCATGCAATTTTACACATTGTACGGTTTCAATGCAGCAGTCACTACAGTCATCCTGATATTAGTTATTTTATGTAAGTATGTAGCATTACGTAGTAATATCACCTATATCATGACAATGAAAATAATATACCATACGAATAATCCCATTTTTAACAGTGAAACTACCGGCGAATATTTTTTTTCACGGTCTTCTTCAGTATTCAACTGCAGTTGAAATTTTCCAATGCATTCTTAGAACAATTTAATGAAATTCAATATGGTAGGTATTCAAGACAATCCAGAAAACTGTTTGTTCATTCGCCACCTAAATTCATTTTTTTCTATTCTGCTTCCACTCTGCATATTTTGCCATGATACTTTAATTGTCTCTCACTGACTTTGATTTTGAATAAAAGTAGTTATTTCCAATAACCAATGCTTACGCTTTACTGGAAAAAAATCTAAAAAGTCATGAATCTTAAAAAATATTGTCTGTAGGTTTGAAAAAAATCTTACTGCCTGATACGTTCTTTCATTTTATCTCCAACTCCAATTCATTAACGTGGTCACATTTTAAGCTGTATATAAAAAAATGAGCAAACAAATTATTAGGAATTTCAATCAGTAGATGAAATGAAGATATTGCTGTTTGTATAGCGTGACTAAAAAAAAATTACAAATTCATATGCAGCGATTAGAGTATACAAAAAGAAATTTCCGTAAACTTAATCCTAATTTTTCTCTTGTGATTTCTTCAGTTTTCAAAAACAATCCCCCCACTCCTCCCTCGCACGCTGTGGCTCAGCAAGAGGCAACCGAAACCTCAGTGGATTTCGTCACGTCACTGAAAAACCTGGCAACCAACAGGTCCTACGTCCTGCTACTTTGCGCTTACGGCATCAACACTGGGGTGTTCTACGCCATTTCCACCCTTCTCAACCAAATCATCCTACATTACTACCCGGTAAGCATCCTATGGATTTTTGTGGGTTTTTGACAGAAAGTGACTAAATCTTTCGAACCATTCCCATCACGTGATATGTTGAATGGGCGTGTACACCTCAGTAGAACTTTTAACTCAAACCATGTTTATAATGATCCTTTTATACATAAATAATGATTGACGACATAATTCGATCGAAAAGTTAACTGAAATGTTTTATTTTTGGACATAAATAATAGTACCTTCTGAAAACGGACCCTCTTATGACGTAGAAACCTCATCTCGCCATAGTTAAAAGAAAATACCAAATGCCTGACGGAGACTGAGGCAACTGATATATTAATTCTTTCAACTGTGATCTCGCGCTGATTCACTCTGTCAGAAATCATGTATCATTCAACTCTGTCTGGAATAGTCTTGTTTCAGTATTAGGGTTTTGACGTCACATCATCGCCTCGTTTTCAGAGGTCTGAAAAATCGGGGATTTCAATAATTTTTTATAAAACGTAGGGAGCTCACAGAAAGAAACGGTTTGCGGTAGTGAGCTAGTTTGGGTGAGTTCTATCGAATTATGAAATGAAATTTTTTTATGATATAAGCCCATTGTGGAGGCTGAGTTTGGTCAGTGAATTTTATTCTGGTCGTTTGTGTAGTGATTCAGGCTTTCAAGGATGGTATTCTTTCCTCCATGCGTACAACAACGTACAACATAGTGTATAACGTGATTCACTGTGGAAATATGACAATGATGTATGGGAATGATTCGAAAACTTTAGGCTATCGTTTTTTGTTTTTTGTTTCCAATACATGCGAAAGCTTTGAAGGCTAATAGGCAAGAACACGAATGCCCAGAAATAATTTTCTGACGTTTGTGACGATGAGAAAAAGCACAGAAATGAGTGGACTGATGGAGTGAAATAAATCATTGGCATTCAATTGCTCCACTGTGTCGATAGGGACCTAAATCAATGTTTGCAACACGTCTCACCCTTTTTTTATGTCAATAATGTGTCCATGCGTTGTTCAAAGTTCTTGAATTACAGAGCTCATTTCAAACGTACCGCCATGGCCATTTGGCCATACGTCGAATAAATTGTGACGTCAGTTTTTATGCTGTTTCGTTATTCGTCAGATAATCTTCCATTCCCACTCATGAAGCAAGGTTGTCAAGTCACCAATACCAATTATATTCAAGTCGTTGAATTAAACACGAGATAAAACATGATAGGAGGAAGCCATGATATTTTAGTTCATTCTTGAATTTTTGGAGTAACCATCAGCACGTGCAAATATTTCTTATACTCCATAACAAAATATCATGAAAATGTTGGAGACTTGGCAACAATGTGCTGAATGCTGAGAACTGACAAGACACCGCTCACAATTCGTGCGCCGTGTTGTCACGTCGAATTATCGAAATATCGATAACTGTAGAATTTTTTCTCAATATCATCGCTCTCAAGATTGTTTCTTCTTGTTTTCTGGGATCAGAAATATTATGACATAGATGATATTAGAGTGATGTCACCAGAATTTGAGCTTAGTATACCAAAATCGTTCAGTTACATTTATAAACCTCGCTTAACAATAAAAGTGAGAATTAGACCGAATTTTGTCGCTGCTGATTGAACCTGAACAAAGCCGTGCCCAGGATTGCTAATTCACATTTTTCTCGAACTAAAGGAATAAAGTCGAATTTAGGCCGTCTGTAATCGTGTTGGATCAAGTGAAAAATGGAAGTGCGTTTTCATTCGATATTAGAAAGTTTGGTATCGAATTTAAGCACACTCTGTATAGCTTAGGGTAGAGCTGGGAAAAAATATCGATATATCGATAAATATATCGATATATCGATATATCGAATAACGATATTTAAGTTTTTAAATATCGATATATCGATATATCGATATATCGATATATCGATATATCGATAAATATCGATATATCGATAAATATCGATGAATATCGATATATCGATAAATATCGATATATCGATAAATATCGATAATTATCGATAAGTATCGATAAGTATCGATTTATCGATATATCGATATATCGATAAATATCTATATTTATCGATATATATTGATATATCGATATACAGTGTGTCCAAGAAAAGGTTGCTCAGTAATGTCTTAGAAGCAACTGTGAGAAGAGGATATCTTTATTTAGAGAATAATGGTCATCATTTTGAACAATTGTTATGAATGTTTCTGTTGGTATTGCCAAAATTATGTTATTAAAGTAAATCGTGTATGAATTCATAATTAATTTGAAGCGCTGCATTGAATAATATGGTGAAATATTTTTTTTCCACTTTCCGGAATTGAATAACTATATAGTCCCTCAATGTTTGACACTAAATGATCAGAAATAGGGCTGGGAAAAAATATCGATATATCGATAAATATATCGATATATCGATATATCGATATATCGAATAACGATATTCAAGTTTTTAAATATCGATATATCGATATATCGATATATCGATAACTATCGATAAATCGATAAATATCGATATATCGATAAATATCGATATATCGATAAATATCGATATATCGATAAATATCGATATATCGATAAATATCGATAAATCGATAAATATCGATATATCGATAAATATCGATATATCGATAAATATCGATATATCGATAAATATCGATATATCGATAAATATCGATAATTATCGATAAATTTCGATATATCGATAAATATCGATATATCGAACTTATCGATAAATTTCAACTTATCGATAACCGATAACTGAAATCCAATATCGCGCAGCCCTAGCTTAGGGAATGAAAATATCAAAGGCAGAACGATCATGATGGACAATGGATCTAGGTTCCCTAAATTTCCTTCAACGATTTGGTTATAAACAAAATGATCTGATGTCGGATGACGATGCAGTATCACAAATTAATGTAACAAGAACATTCAACTCACCAATTCGATAATCTTTCATTCCACCAAAAACAGTCCTTCTTCCCGATTCCCCACTGCAAAGTTCCCCTCCTCTTGATATCATGTGAGCCTCCTCTGGATAGGTACGTGCCCTTTGGCCTTTCAACCTCCGGGCAGCACCCGGATTATTTATAGGAATTCTCCGACAGCCTTGTCCAGTTGGCCCAAGAAATGGCGTTTCCAATCAAACTATATTTCGAGGACCAACTGTATTTATTGTCCCCCAGAGAATGCTCACATGATGCAGAAACACTCCTCAACAATGTATCAGGAATCATGATCTGAAATGAACAGTTTGGTGAGATCAGAAGTGGGATCAGTAGAATCAGAAGTGGGATCAATAGAATCAGAAGTGGGGTCCCGAAAATCGAAAGAACGAATATAAAAACATAATTGAGGATTACGTTCATGCTTATTTTTTTAGGCGGCTTCAGAAGATGCGGGGCGCATAGGTCTGGCAATAGTGGTGGCTGGTATGATTGGATCCGTCTGTTGCGGTATAGTTTTAGACAAATACCATAGATTCAAGTAAGTTTCTTGAGCCAATAATATTTTCCGTATTGCCAAATATTTTTTCTTTATTTTTCAGAGAAACAACTTTGATAGTCTACGCGTTCTCTTTGATAGGAATGGTAGTATTCACGTTTACTCTTTCCAAGGGTATCTATGTCGTTTACGTAACCTCCTTCGTGTTAGGGTAAGACAATATTTATTTACTTTTTACTTATGAGTACTGCCATAATATATTCTTGATAGACTGTGGGTACTTGGATTATATACCAGAGATCACTTATCAGCAATCCAAATATCCGAGATAATGATAAAAATTACTCACATCATAAATCATGATCATTATTTACCCAACATCGATTGGAAAAAATAATCCTCATCTTAAAGCAATGATTTGATCCATAATATAATTTATTGCTTGGACGGAATGAATCATGTTCAAATGAAATAATCTCTCCAATAAAATATTTCCACATTTTTACTATAACCATGACAATGATTTTACAACTTCAATATCCAGTTTGGGTAAATAAAATCAATATTTCCATAATTGAAATGTATACTATACATATAGAGTAGAGATTACAACAACAAACTTGTGGGGGTATGGAAGTTCAAAAAAGAACGAATAAGTCCTATAAAAGGATAAAAATAGGACTAGTTGTGGTTTGTTTTCAGTCGATTCCATGAAGAATTTAAAGATGACGATGCCTTTTTCTCACAATATTTGAAAGCTGTTGCTTCTAACTTTATATTTTCTTATATTTACTTTGTCGTTTTGTTGGTTCATGATGTCATCGGATTTTGCGGTTCAAACTAGTTCAAATTGCAGGTGATAACGCGATTCGTTCTCATCGGAGATAGTTTGAATTATTTCAAGACTCTTTTTAAAAAAGTCATTTGAATTAATTCACGAATTAAATCACCGACTACATGGGGAAGTTTCCTTTAGAAGAATTTTAATAGAATAAGTTTGGAACTCTCTCATGTCCACGCTTTACAGAATGGCGACCGACAAAGTCCAAGTCGTTTTCATTTTCAAATCGAAGCAATTTCTAATTTTCGGGGCGGCAAACTATGACGTACATTCTGAATCTAGTCTGAAAATAGGTCATGGTGAATAATATAGCTAGCGAATAGCTAACGATTGAAAAACGAATGAAAAAAAATAGAAGAAGAAGTAAAACTGGTAAACAAAAACATACAAAACCACAAATGCATCGGAGCAGAAATGCAGAGGGTAGTTAGCTTCATTCTGACAGGTCATGGTTTTGTTATTTATGCATTGAAATATCTCGAATAGAGCTCGATCCTAAACGAAAATATCAATAAATCAATGAATCACTATCGGCTACATTCAATGATACTATCCTTCCTAATTTACTGTCATCGGTCAGAACAGAATGAAGTTGTGCCTGTCAGTATTTTGAGTGGTGTGGACGGACTCGAAGTATTAGGCGCTGTTGCAAGATATAATCTGCAACTTTCCTAGAAAATGGATCCGTTTCATTAAGGGTATGTTCCGTAAATCAACTTGGTTATTTCGATTAGTAGTTTTCCGTTTCGTAAATATGAAATCTTCGGTTGATTCCTGAAAAAAACGTTATTTAAGGAACTTGGTTGATGAAAAAGTGGTAGATTTACTGTCACCTGGACGACCGTGGATTTTCTCTGGTGAGTTCGGTTATTTTGAGTTGACGTTGGCACAGATAAGTTGTCGTATTCTAGTTTTCGATTTGATTCTTCCATTCTCAAATTGAAACGAAAAACAGTATTCTCATTTTAATTACTGCGTTGAGTTCCGCTGGATTCGTTTACAGAGGAGAATCAATAATATTTGATACATTTTCATTTTGATGATGTATTTTTTCTAGTTCAGAACACTATCCTTTGCTTGTGGTTACTGTGCACAAGAATTAGAGACGACTTTTGGGTGTCATAATTGAAAATCAAATACAGGCTGAGCATGAATTTTAAAAAACGATCAAAACCATAATTTGACAAATGACTGGCATTCCGTAAATGAATCACAGCCGTAGTCACTAGTAGATAAGCACTGTCGAAATTGTTGGTACGGCATCGATAACCTCGGAATTCATCAGCAAAAAAATGACTGACAATTTATGAATAACATATTGTAATATAACGATAGTGAAAAATTACAGAGTCAATCGCAAAATATCATAATTCATATTTATTAGCAATCAACTTCATTCAGCCAATGAGAGATTTATGGGAATTATTCATAATACTTGATAAAGTAGGATTGAAGAACCTATTATATCCCATTGCTGCTATGATATAGTTTTTATGCATTCAATGAACAATTTCCGGAAATCTAGACATATGAATGAGATCGGCAACGTCGTACTGGCACAGGGAATCGTATTTTAACTCTGTGTGAATGTGGATTTTCGGAAAGTACGTCACAGGAATGGTGGAGGAGCCAAGTTCCTCTTTTATTTATTTTTTTCTCAACTGAAATTTGATCTAACGAAAAAAAGAAAAAATACGTATACATTAATTTTTAACAAACTTCACAGTGAGATGAGAACCTCAATATAGGAAAAACGTGTCAACCGTTAGACATATTCCACATCCTTTCCAGATTCTTCATGACTGGCTTGCTGCCCGTAGGCTTCGAGCTGGCCAACGAACTGACCTACCCAGAGCCAGAAGGAACCTCGGCAGGTCTCCTGAACGCTTCGGCCAACCTGTTCGGCATCGTCTTCACCAACATCTATTCGGTGATTTTCTATCGAGTGAGCGACGTTTGGGCCAATACGGCCATGAGCATCACGCTGGTTCTGGGCACTATTCTGTTGGCGTTCACTAGTTCGGATTTGAGGCGGCAGGTAGCGCATAGCGAGAAGAAAGGGGTCAACTAATCAGTATTGAATTCATGAATTTATTTATTATTTTTTCAACTCACATAAATTATAGTGAATTCCATTGGTAAAACTCTGGCTCGCACTAAGTGAATATTTTGTATTCCACTGGTGAAACTGATTCTGTCAATCTGGTTCATTGTGGCAAAATAGTACATTATACATCAAGGGACAGAAATGCAAGAAAAATAGCATTATGTCCTGAGGTGTATACCGGGTGACACAGGAGACATGTAGCAGCCTGTAGTTTTTTTATTTGAAGAGAAAAAAATTTGAAATTCACAGGGGGTATATAATAAATGGTAGCGCACTTTACGAACTTAACGACAATTTTTTTCAACCACCTGTTTGACAGGAAGTGACCCCAACTTTTTTTTTGAATGTCACCCTGTACATTTCTTCAATCTATCTTTCTCATCCAACCATGTATCACAAAGTGGCATTTATTTCTTAATTCGCTGTCGAATTGCTTTTTATTCAAAAAGAATAAGTTGGCTGTGACATGAATTCGATGATATATCTACACTTGGTAGGCTTTGAGATCTAAATATCATTAGTAAACCGATATTATTCAGAATGTTTTGATATTCTGATCAATGTCTGCAGGTTGTTATTAGCTTGTTTGAGTCAAGATGAAAACCTTCGAAAATAACTCATGATATTGAGGAATCTAAGATAGGAACATATTTTTTCGAATTCAGCTACTCGTACAGAAACTATCTGTTTTTTATTTTCGCCATGTACCTATCACATGATCTTCCCATTTGGAATGATGAAACTAAAATCGTTCCTCTTATACGAGGATCCACAGGGCTATCAGTCTATTTTTTCATAATTATTTCACTCAGTAGGCGGTGTACCCACACAAAATGTTTTATGTGTTTGACAGTTAATCGATTGCATCAATAATTTTTCTTCTTCATTTGTTTGTTGATTGAAATTGCATATTAACAACATATCGACTTTTTCGTTCCTTGAATAAATTTAGGTTGGTTTACTAAATCTGGTAACATATCTTAGGTTAGGTTACTAGATCTAGTAACATATCTTAGGTTAGGTTACTAGATCTAGTAACATATCTTAGGTTAGGTTACTAGATCTGGTAACATATCTTAGGTTAGGTTACTAGATCTAGTAACATATCTTAGGTTAAGTTACTAGATCTGGTAACATATCGTAGGTTGGGTTACTAGATCTGGTAACATATCTTAGGTTGGGTTACCAGATCTGGTAACATATCTTAGGTTGGGTTACTAGATCTAGTAACATATCTTAGGTTGGGTTACTAGATCTGGTAACATATCTTAGGTTAGGTTACTAGATCTAGTAACATATCTTAGGTTAGGTTACTAGATCTGGTAACATATCGTAGGTTGGGTTACTAGATCTGGTAACATATCTTAGGTTGGGTTACCAGATCTGGTAACATATCTTAGGTTGGGTTACTAGATCTAGTAACATATCTTAGGTTGGGTTACTAGATCTGGTAACATATCTTAGGTTGGGTTACTAGATCTAGTAACATATCTTAGGTTGGGTTACTAGATCTGGTAACATATCTTAGGTTAGGTTACTAGATCTAGTAACATATCTTATGTTAGGTTACTAGATCTGGTAACATATCTTAGGTTAGGTTACTAGAACTGATAACATATCGACTTTTTCGTTTCTTGAATACATTTTCCGTCTCTATTGATAATATGCAATTTTAATCAACACACAAATGAAGAAGAAAAATTATTGATGCAATCGATTATCTGTCAAACACATAAAACATTTTGTGTAGGTACACCGCCTACTAAGTGAAATGATTATGAAAAAATAGACTGATAAGATAAGAGGAACATGGTAGGTACATGGCGAAAATAAAAGACAGATAGTTTCTGCACGAGTAGAATTATGCTATCTTATTATTTACGAGAATTCCAATCAAAATATGGATACAAACCTGAGGAATCGAAATCAGCACAATGGTTTTCAATTTACGCCAATATCATATTTTTGAAGATGATACAATTGTTTTAACAAAGTATGTTCTATTCTATACTTTCTTGAAACTCTAAAAAAAATATATTGACGTGAATCAAAGGTTATTATTGTGTTGAGCAGGAAACACACTTCGATTCCAAAACATAATGAAACTAATTTTATTAACTCAATGGGTGAGAAAGTAACTTCTTTTTCCCTGTATGATGAAGCCACCTGTTTTTCTGGGGAAATGAGATTCAGGCTAACATCCAAAAACATAAATTTAGGATTTGCTCGAAAATTCACTGGAATCGCAGAAAAATAATTGAAAAAGTTACAGGGTTGGCTAAATTTTTGTCTGGCCGTTTTTTTTTTTGGTACATTTTATGTTTTCAATTGAGTTCAAAATCTGATTGTGCCATCTCAAACTCGGATAACATTTTTCTAATCAACTTAAGGCAAAATAAGGCAAGAGTTCTTGAGGATACTGAAGATAATAAAAATTATTTATAATAGCACGGTGATTTTTTTATCCTTGCGATAGAGCAGATTATTTATATATTATATTGTAGTGATTCTAGTAAAATTAATAATAATTTATTGTGATGCCTAGCTGTGACATTTGTAGGATTTCAGATGAATGGTTATCTGATGAAATAATTCCTGATTATTTGTTTACCTACCTTTCTAGTATTGTAATACATAGATAGAGTATAGATAGACTCAGTCCTTTTTATTGAAGTCACTAATCAGGGACAATAACATATGACAATAAGCATATCTTAGAAGGAAAATAATATTTTATGATGTACATTGAAGATTTTTTCATTTATACACTACCTATATTACGAGCTATATTATAATAGGTATTTTAGTGCTTTTACTGAAGATTTAATTATTTTGAATAGAAAGTAAATTATATCCAGGGAAAAAGTAGAAAAAATGAGAGGAAAACATCTTCAATGAAAAAAGTAAGACAATTTAGGTCATCTATTGTATAGTATAGTATAATAGATGTTCAATATTTGTCGAGTATATACCATTGTCTTTTATAATATTTTGATTTAAATGACCTTGTATCTAATCAATCAAATAACGACAAACATATCTGTAAATAAAATACAATACTTCCACAACACTGATATTGAAAAATCTCTCACTAACAATGTACCTATTATTTTAATTGATTATGTATTATGTTGTTACCTTATTATGATTGAATTATTTAGAAATAAAAATATGTCATGTTAACATATCGTTTCATTGAAAAAATCCGTTCAATAAGAAAAAGAGAACACAATGATGAGAACGAAACAATGACAATATTTCACAACATAAAATGTAATATCTAAATAAAACATAGACTAGAAATTTTGGGAAAATTGATGCGCTTGCTAGTAAACATCCCGTATATTATTTTATCATTTCCCCGCGATATTCTAGACATTTTCATCGATTATATTAATTCGAATGCACGAAAAAAATGTAGATCGATGTGACGTAGTAAACTGGCACAGTCTTGGGGTAAAAAACGTCCTAATGACTGCCGATTGTATGAATGGTATGGAATGGAGTCGCATGTCACAGCTGATAGGACGACGCCGACGTCCCCACGTCACGACGCTTGCAATTCGATTCTGTTTCCGGACGACTTTCGCGCTGTGCACCTCGCTGGTTTTCCCGGAACGATTTTCGCGAGTTCCACGACCCGATGTCGAATTTTCCTCTATATAAAATGTGTGGTGAGTAAATGAAAAACAAAAAAAATATAAAAAACCCTTCAGTGAAATGAAAATTCAAGAGACTACTATAATCATTTTTATTGATTTCATGGCATATGGGCATTATTTCGCGTTATTTCCTGTGTAGATAGATGCATAAATAATTTATGAGAACAACAATTCCTTTTTTTTTCAGGGAATAGCTATGATGTGTGAATAATATTCGTAGGAATCCTGGGCTTTTTCTTGTCGAAGTTGACTAATATGTTTGAAGAATGTTTTGGTAATGGCCCTTTTGTATTCAGGATTAACGATAATGGACTAGGGCCGCAACTTTTGACACAGGTAAATATATTAGCACATTAGTATAGGCCTATACCGCCTATACCTACTGGTACATTATTATTTCATCAAATAGTATCAGTATTTCGTATTCAATGAGAAAAGCACAAAGTGATATCCACGACTTTAAAATTTGAAGACTTCAAATTAGGAACATGTTTCGGACATATGCAGTCCATCTTCAGCCTATGTTAAGAAGTCCGACAATACTCATTGAATACGGGACCCATCACTTCATTCTGAGCTACAATGGACTTCTACCAACGTTTTTTTACTAGTATTTCGTTATTCGATAATTATGGAATAGTTTTGTTTAATTTTATTTCATTTAATACCCTAAACTTATGAACTTAGAGCAAACCAAGGGCCCCTTTAGACAATTTGCTCCAGGCCCCGCGCTGGCTTAATCCGGCACTGAAAATATTACATTTTGTTGAAAATATGAAGGCAAGAAGGGCATGTACATACAGATAGGACAGCCATGCTTATGCATTATTATTATTATGGAAAATGAAAACGCAAATTATTGATTGAAATACTCACCGAAACAAACTATCATGTTTTCCCCGAGGTATTCCCAACACATATATTTACCAATAAACACATTTTTGTTCGATTTCAATGATTTATAAAAAAAATGCGAACAAAACATTTTCAGCTATCGTCACTACTGACTAGTCCTTTGAATTTGTGGGGTAGCCCATAGCCCATAGAGTACACAGCCACACTCGTACAAGTACGTATTAGTACGTAACCATTATTGTCAATATTTTCTACTAAAATAACTCGAAAATACCTAATACTCTGGGACTGGGGAGCTGTATGGGATACTGAGATAGTATACGTGAATAATATGTACGAAGTACGATGAATAATTGAATAGTTTAGATCACCCGAGGAACACCTCATGAAACCCTACCTGTTGGATTCAAAGAGGATTCAAAACTCAACTCACCAAAAGTATGGGTAGTAGCCGAACAAACGTTAAATCAACTCTTCCACTGAGAAAACTTTCATGTTCCTTGATAAATCAGAGTTTCAACGAAGAACAACGCATATTCAAAATTCAAACAACACCAGCACCATTTTGAAAACTGAGAAACAAATTGATGTCACTTGCACCTGCACCGGAAATACACCAGATCTGGTTCTGCCTAGATGACCGACTGCCGGGTTCAGAGGATTATATTGTAGGATTATATCACATTATATTGTATGATAATATTGTTTTCAACACCATCGAAAACTAAAAGGAGTATCAGAATTATTCATTATTCAAATAATGAATATATGAATTCATAATTTGATATAGATGATCGGGGTATAAGAAATATCTAGATATTTGATATCAACTTGAACATTATAGATTGTCAAATTGTCTTGTTTTTATAGCCAATAAATTGATCTTCTTCTGATTCATGAGATATTCAGCAATAATATATAGTGAGCAATTTAGCACATACGACAAGGCGTTTGAAAACAATAGTTATTAAATAACTAGATACTATTAACTATAATCACACTAGAAAACCAGACTGCTAAGTATCCTGTGTATATAATATTGCGTAGGTATGTACAGAGTGACCTATTCGAGAGTGGGCAACCCTCATAAATATTTCATTTATGGAGCAATTTCCACAATTTTTTTCAAAATGTAGAGGAAAGAAAGGTGTATTTTGGAGCTCAGCGGAGACCACTTTTATTAGAAACCTAGGCCTACTAGATCACATTAAGAAGCTGAAGAATCCAGAATCCATATTAGCGACTTTTAAAGAAATAGTCCGCGTACGCCACTGGAATCGGCGTCAGTGGCGTAGCGAGAGGTGTCGGGGCCCCGGTGCAACGAGGGTTGATGGGGCCCTAATTCACTGAGAAAATTTTCCAACCCTAGAGTTAAAGGTAGTTGAAGATCGAAAAAAAAGAACAGAATTGTTAAAAATGTATATCTCTTGTAGTGGCGAGTCGTTATGAGTTTGAAATTTGAGAAAGTTGGTATGAGCAAAATTGCGCTTCAGGCAATTCTTTTCAAAATTTCAAGGTCAAGCTGCCTGGTTCAGAAGTTCAAAATGAAAATCAAATATATTTGTCTCTTGAGTATGAATCTAGTAGCCTCATCAGTTAATTTAATTTCCAATGAAAACAACTGAATGTACCTAAGTATTTTTCTGTTCTCTCGAATGGAGTCACGAAATGACAAACAAAAAAAAAGACAAAGCCATGGTAGCCACCTGATTCCCCCGCTTGTTCTCTGCAATCTGAGTGAAGCTATTTGTCCATCGCCTCACCTCCGTTTGTATCATGCAGTGACTTTTGCAGAAATTTCAATCTAACGCGGTATTTAGTTGAAACAACTAATGTATTTTGAATCTGACAGTTATTATCAATGAGTACCATTTTATAATTCAAGATTTTGGTAGCATGAAAATGACTCCAACAGGGCAACCAAATTAAAACAATCAAAAATTTAGGACACGTGTATAAGGACGCAAATTTTCATAGGTAAGTATATTCAGCCTGCTTTCAACTGACGATTATGATCTGGTCTCGCTGCTGGCAGCAATATTTCATATTGTAAAATCACAGTTGAGTTCAACATTCATAGGCGCCCAGCAATAATGATTAAGTAGGGAATATACACTCACCGGCAAAAAAAAACCGGCCACCATAAAATTTCGCCCTGTAACTTTTTTATTTCTTGTCCGATTTTGGTGAAATTTCGACCGAACGGTATATTCATGTTTCGGAATATTTTCTTGAATATTAGATCCCGAGGAAAGCTGATGGTTTGATCATTATACAAAGACAAACAAAAGTTACTCTTTTACCCTTAACTTCCTATTGCCCTGTGGAAAAAGTGAGTGGTTAAACTTGGCTTCATTATGTTTAGGATTGAAATTTGAACCTTTTTCGTCCTTTCCCAGCATATTGGTTCAAAATTCACGTCAATATTTCTTTTTAAAGAGAATATACAAGTGTTCGAAGAAAGTATGGAATTTTTTAATTTTTGTCAACAATAATTCGAAACCTCTAGAGTATGAGGATGAGGCTGATTCGCATTCGTCCGGCCTTGTCAGAGACTCTTCAAGAGCTACAATTGATGAATTTTAGTTATTCTCCAAGTCCACTTGAGAAATTTGATCAACTCGATGACAGGGCGGTTAAATGCTGTAATTCAAACTCGAGGAGAGCATACTGGTTATTGACTACAGGTCTGCTTTTTGTTTGTTTATTGTATTTGAGGTTTTTTAGGTAAGTGCTATAAAAATGAGGTAGAACACTCGTATATTCTCTCAAAAACGAGTTATTGACGTGGATCAGCAACCATTGTGTTAGGAAGGGATCAAACTTCAATCCAGAGCATAATGAAGCCAAGTTCAATAACTCAATTTTGCCACATGGCGCGAAGAAGTAAAGGGTGAAATAGTAACTTTGGTATTTCCCTATATAATGATCAAGTCATCAGTTTTTCACATAAACTAATATTTAGACTAACATTCCGGAACATGAATCTACGATTTGATCGAAATTTCTCAAAAATCTGACAAGGATTAAAAAAGTTACAGGGTTCATGAATTAATTTGCACACCAATACTGTCTTGCATTATACCTGCTAATGCAGATTGAGATATAGGGGCCCCGGTGCACCGCACCGAACTGCCCGTCCATAGCTACGCCACTGATCGGCGTCCTCTCAAATAGATCTGTACCAAGTTTCATGGAAAAAATATTCAACATTATAACTAATCTACAGCATGTCTCAATTCAAACAAACAATCTGATCATCAGTTTTTTCAAAGACGAAGTTCATTGTGGACAGTGCCGTGTGCTTTTCATTGAAATAAAAAAGGGTCGAGTTTTATGAAAAAAATGCAAAAAAATATAAAACATTGTTACGTACGCAAAAAAGCTTTTCATATGTGCCCGTTTTTTTCGAAACCCTCTATAGAAATCATAAAAGTTCACATATCGGGGATTGAAACAGGAAGAACCATATTATGAGGTTAGTTTTCCTGTAAGAAATTCCTAATATAATTTCATAAAAAATTACACCTTTTTATTTTAATAAAAACTTACGGAACGGTCCATCAAATGGATGTTCGTAATGGATCCCAATTTTGGTACGAATCGCTCGACTAATAGCTATGAGATGAAGAGGAGAGCCATTAATTTGAAATGAGACACGCTGTGAAATCATTATAGTGTTGAACATTTTTTCATGAAACTACAATGTGTTTGCTTTCCTTTAGATATACAATCATATCATTTCATTATCAGAGGTGACGCCAGAAATCTGCAGCTGATGGCTCTCCATGTCCATGTCCTTTTGTAAATAATTTATGGTGCCCTATAATTCAAGTTGCATTAAAAGTTCGGGTAATTACAGGAAACTCCTATTTCAGGATTCCAAGCCGGTTGACAGTGTTGACACGTTCTACCAACCTTATAAAATAGGAATGAGCAGCTATATGTCAAGGTCGTCCTAGTGAAGTTGCGTGCGTATATTTAATACTAGATTCCGAGTTATTAAATGGGGTTTACTCTTTCCTTGCGTGTTATGTTCATCATCGCTGAGTTTTCAAGAATGAAATAGACAATCGCAGATGTCATAATAGTCGCATAACCAAGAATTTACGATGCGGATTTCCAGCTGAGATAGTTGGTAGGGTGACAGCGATAGCTGAAACATTCCATTGCACGCAAGATTAACGTTAATAAAATACCTACAACGTTTCAGGACTATTCAGAAGCTCAGAACTATCGAGTCAAATAGTTTGATTATGTTTTTTTTTTCAATCAAATCATTCAACTTGATATGAATCCAATTTGAATCCGAACTGTGTGAGTTTATCTCATTTTGCAATAGATGGCGGGATGAAGACACATACTGACAACTGACACAAACGTTGCTAAGGAATCAAACTCCATATGCCTTCGTAGATGACAATTATTATAAACACTCAGCTATTATAGTAGGTAGGAACCTACTACATAGATGTTATTTCAATCATTTTAGGTAGGTATCACAATAATATATGTGTATGTGATTTCCACAAAATTCTTGAACATGCTTTATCTTTAGCTGACATAGTAGCTTTAAGGGGTTATAAACTCATATACAAGAAGAAATTTATTGGATTTGTAGATATACAAACGACTGTGCAAGAAAAATCTTGAAGAAGATAACTACATATATACACTTACCGGCAGAAATAACCAAAAAATTCTGCCAAACTTTTCGCCCTGTAACGTTTTTAATCCATATCCGATTCTGGTGAAACTTTGACCAATTAGAATTAGATTTTTATGCAATTCTGCAAGTCCACTTGATAAATTTGATCAACTCTATGCTACGACAAGGATGCTACGACCAAGGTGGAAAGCAATAATGGCATATTAGTTCTCAGTTGTCCGCAAGATGGCGACACTTTTCACTGATTTATTTCATGACAGAAAACTGAAACGGCGCTTACACACCGCTTGCATCAGAAATAATAATACTCAAATCAAATGAGATTGAATTTGAAAGTACTTTCTCCATCTAACGGTTTAAATGCGACCTATATTCCGCGATACTGAAAAGAATCCTTCTGTCAAGTAGGGCGTAGGTTTAATCACTCGTATCTTCTCTTAAAAATAAGATATACAGGTGAAACAAAAACTAATGTGTTGAGAAAGGATCACACTTTAATCCAAACCATAATCGTTGATTGATATATTACGCTTACGCCATAATGAAGCCAAGTTCAACCACTCAATTTCGCCACAGGGCGGAATAGTAACTTTGGATTTTCCCTATACAATGATCAATAAATCATCAGATTTCCACAGATACTAATATTTACGCCAATATTCCAGAACATGAATCTACGGTTTGATTCAAATTTCACAGAAAACAGATGAGGATTAAAAAAGTTACAGGGTGAACAGTTTGGGCAAATTTAATGTGGCCGTTTTTTTGCCGGTACCATGTCCCTATCTAATGAATAGGTAGGTACCTACTAGAGACTCAGTATAATTCCTACAACATTATATTTAACTTCTTGCCCTTTTCAAATTTCAAGCCTTATTACATGATATAAATTTCTAAGGAAGTATTCCCATGCAATGTGGCGACTATAAATGGCACAGATATTTCACTAAAACCATTCAACTTGCTATTTTATAGGAGCATTAGCCATACTAGCATCAACCTAGCGTGCTGGCGAGCTGTAATTCCCAAATGAATTAGTTATGTAAACAATTTTCATTAGGACCATAATGTTCTGTTAGGAAAACCCGAGGAAAACCGCTGAAAACGAGAATTTTGATTTATCTGCTAAGTTATGTTTGTAGTTACAAACAACCGGTAAACTTCTAATTGATTGCGCTTCGGAGTGTTGAGATTGAGATATGATCATATTTTCATGGGAAACGTCGGTAACTTTTTGTAGTTTTTCATCACCAAAATTTGTGTGATCTGAAGAACCATTTCTGTAATTGTGTTCTGATATAGATCCCAGAACTATTTTTTCCTTTGCCGAGTCCTTTGCCAAAGCAATAAACAGTCACAAGCCAATCATTTCCTTTAATGTTTTCCCATTGATCTGATAGCTTTTATACCTACTTGATGCTTTTATAAGTTATGATTTCAGAAATATAATTAATTATCTTTATGGGATATAAATAGAGGAAGATGGAGCCCAACTATTTCTAGATAACTAAATTTGCGTGACTCATATTTGGTGTTTGCATGTCCTTGATCAAAACCGTCAACAGTGCCAATCTTGCCAGAATTAAAATAAGAATAAAACAATATTATTTCATGAACCAATCAATAAATAATATACCAGAGGTATCCACAATATTACCAGCCAGCCAAATATTTCCATACAAAATATCAAGTGTTGCAATTAAAAAACGAAACTTTCATATTTCATATAATAAATATGAGTTATAGGCGTTCATTACTTTCTTATAGGTTTGCTTAGAAAGAGGTTGGAGAGAATACAACTCTGAAAACGAGAGCTGGAACCTTTGGTGGAAAACTTCAGGGTTCCCAGTAAGCCATCACAGAAGCCTCTATGCTTGGCAGTATTTGAACCACATTCCAAAAGGGGCCTCAATATGCAGAAAGGACAACCTCGTGAGGTATCTGAGGTGTATGAGGAAAGTTTATGGGGCCATTTATGATTTTATGTAGGTATATTGGTACCTACTTACTTTTATGTTTATATATAGAATGTCAAAAATAATGTACCTATTATATAGATTGCAGGAAGTACATTGATTTTCCAGAAAATTTTATTCATGGAAAAATATCATCTATTTCTTATTGAGATTAGTTTGGGAATAGTTTCATGTTTCATTATGACTAAGTTTGCGAAGAATTTCATTTGTGTGACCCAAGACATATTTTTGAAAAATGAGCCTGATTTTCACAGGAGGCAGATCGAAAATTTTTGCCCTCAAGTCCCCCTTTATGTATTTTTCAGCCCCCATGGCTATAATCTACCACTGGAATACACAAAACTAGCTGCTGAGTGTAGTAGAGGCAGACCTGCTAGTGGAAAAGATGACCCTAACAAGTATTTTGAAGAAAAGCCAATATGGATATGCAAACCTGTAGCTCAAAGCCAAGGAAGGGGCATTTTTCTGTTCCGGGTATGTAGAAATACATCATATTATATTGCAGATATTGAGAGAGTATAGTTAGTCCACTTATTTTATGAGCAAACTCACAGTTTACCTACAAAAAACGAGGAACATAGGGATGGTAGTATAGTGATACACTCGGGAAAAACATATTGTCATCATTTTCTGAACCCTCAGTACAATAGGGTATATAGGTATCTGCTATCTGCTCGTTATGATATCTATAGGAACATTTTAGTTAACTACTCATGCTGGGTTCATAGATTCATCTATACTGAGAATGAAACTAACAACTATAAACTTAAAAAGTTGAATACGAATCTATGAGGGTTTATACATTTACATCTGTCATTTAAATTAAGGATTAAGATTTACAAAGTTGTCCAACTTTCAACTCAACAATTAACAAGTAGGAAATCTTGGAAACAGAACATGAAGATTGTAATTGTTATTGTTCAGCTGGAATTTGGTGATATTTAATCAGAATATTTTTTATGGATTCATGATTTGTGCAGTCCAAAATAACTTTTCAACATCATTTTGATCTTTAATCGGAATATATTTCACATTTAATTCTTAATGAATATCAGATATGTATAAACACCCTCATTGAATCTATAAACCCAGCATTACTTCAGTTTGTGGTTTGAGATAGGTCAAATCGGTAGTTCTGCTCTGATTGAGAAATATTTCCATCAACATTTTTCTTCCATTCTTCGTTTTGGCAAATATAGGTTATACTTATACTCTTTGTTTTCTATCAATTTTTCAGTTATAAACTACTTCAGAATTAGTTAAATACTTGAGACAGTGTATTCTCGATGTGCTGGATTCTATTCAATATTCCTTTCAAGACTACAACACTTCTTCAAATTTCGGTTACGGTTTCGCGGTTCAAATGTTGCAATGCTGGTTGCATACATTTCAGGGGCATATATTTCTCCATATATGGAGTATAGATGGCGCAGACTTTGATAGAAAATCCTGTATTGCTTGTTGCATATCACAGTAGCCGCAAACATGGAGCCAAACATAAAATTCAAAGTTCAATTCTATCGAAAATAAAACGAACAATAGATTATTGACGGAACTCGACCGCTAGAAAACAGGCACCCTCTGTAAATATTTCAAAAAATGTTCTGTTCCCAGAAACTCAGTGAACTGAATTACGACAGCAACACCATAGTCCAACGTTACATCGAGAAACCCCTGCTGATCGGCGGCTACAAATTCGATCTCAGATTGTACGTGTGCATCCCATCGTACCACCCTGTAACCATCTACATGTACAGGGAGGGCTTGGCCAGGTTCGGAACAGACAAATTCAGCTTGAACGACTTGAGGAACCCTTTCAGGCACTTGACGAACTGCTCGATCAACAAATTAGGGCCGGGGTACTCAGAAATGAAGGACAGGGTCGGATCAGGTACTTATGTTACTCTGCATATTCCATCTTGGGTCTAAAATTTGGTATAATTTGAAATATATTTTTTCACTTCTTTTCTTGCCGGTTTTTGTATGCATGTATGACAACTGCATATTTATGCAGTTTATTATTGTATAATCAAGTTCAGAGTGACCCATTTGAAAGCAAGCTACCCTCATACATTTTTTATACAGGGTGTTTCATTGGGAAAGGTAAATAATTCAACTGTGGATAGGGGTCACTGAGTTGATTTCAAAAAACCCATGGTTGATGGGTCTTCGACGTATTATAACCGAGATACAGGATGTTTCATCAATTTTGTCCATATCTTCATTGTCTCATAACTTTCCAACCAACCTGTATATATTTTTAAAAATTGGCACACTTGCTCAATCTACCCTATGGAATTGATTGAGGCAACAACAAAAGATAAAATCCAGGTCCGGCTTCACTTAAAATTCACAAATTCTTTCTGCCAGAAAACAACACCATATACATTCGAATTTCTCATTTTTTTTGCCATATCTGAAAAGAACATCAAAATTTCTATTCAACGATGTGCTTTTTATTCGTGCACAGAAGATTTTAACTATTCATATCATGTGCTCAAAATATTATTTTTGTTCATTTTGAAGAAAATAACGACATTCATGTCATGATTTCGTAAATATTTATTATATTAACAATTTTGGTGGTACTTCATCCGAAAATAATTGATTTTTTAATGAAAAAAATTAAAATAATAATTAATTACGAAAAAACTAAGATAGTGCCAGGAGATTTTCCAACAAATTCTTATACAATTTTCACCGTAGATTTAGAATCTGAGTTGAAATTTTTGGTAATCATTATACAGGGTGAGTTATTCTAACAATAACTCGACATAGGGGAAAAATATTATTCCGAGCCTGATATTGGTTTCGATCAAAGGGCTACTTGTTGATGCTTTTCAGTGTAATTCGTGTACCAAATTCGAATCTAATCGGTTATTCCCTGTATTTGATATGGCGGATTGAATTTTTTGTCAAAATCCACAAATCACTTTGTATCTCGGTAACGAAGCGGTTTTGGACATTCGTTTATGGCAGTTTGCAATCATATCGACAGTCCCTATAACCCTATGAGTTTTGTCGGTTTTATCTCCGGACACCCTGTATATCACAATACCCTCTCTGAAATGTATATGATCCTCAAATTTTGTTAGAAATCTTTACTCCTGATATGACAATCTCATTTTTCTAAACTTGAACACCCTATATCTTCGAAATGAAGCATTTTCGGACCCACTTTCACATGAACATTTTTCATATTTTGTTGATAGGAATCTCCGACTTTTCTCACCATAACTCTGAAACACCCTGTATATTTGTACATTTCACTTTGTTCTTGGACAATAAAGTAAAGGTAATATCTAACCATGATATTATAGCTGTATCAATCAATATAATTATTGAGTAAGATTTTTTGTGTGAATGCAACTAATATGGGATTCAGAAGCTTTCTCAAAAGAAATAAGAGTTTTCTTCTGCGTCCCATTAGCCGCATCCCCTCAAATCCTACTCATATATCTACCTATTTATAAAAAATAGGTTGTAAATGGACCCTCAGACAGCTTAGAAGGTACTTTCAACAAGCTGGGATATCTGATTGGCTGTTGTGGCAAAAGATAACATCCCTGATTACTTTGACTGTGCTGAGTCACGTCAGCCAAATTCCTCCTTCCACAAATTGCTTTGAATTCTTTGGATTCGACGTTTTGATAGATAGAGCAATGAGACCTTGGCTTCTTGAGGTAAGGGAAAAATAACCTTACAGAGACATAGTAACTTGTTGAATGTTTTTTTCAAGGTTAATTTAAGCCCAGCACTAAGCAATGATTGTGATGCAGACAGGCTGGTGAAAAAACCAATGCTACATGATATGTTTGATCTACTCGGATTGCCCCTGTATAACACAGGTCTTTCCATATTCAACATTTCTTCAGACGACATTGATGAAAATTCCAAGTTAGTTTTGAAAATTGAGAAGCGAAACACTTTTTCTGTGATCATCAATTTTTTTGTCTGTAGGGAGAATAATGTATCATCTCTGATGAGCACTATTTCTGTGGTGAATGCAGCTGGCCGTTGGAGGAGAAAACAAAAGAAAATGTCCGCCATACACTCCAGATCTGGATCTGCCATTAGAACCAGAAGTAGATCCACTTCTGCCAACATTCAAAGTACGAAATAAAATAAAATACACTTCTCCAAGAAATTAACACACCACCAAAAAGTAGCCAAAAGTGTAAAATACTTGTCCGATTTTGACGTTTTTTGTTTTGAATGATAGATTATCTCCTTCTGAACATCTGGTGTGAAAACTGTTTTCGCATAAAAAACCTATTTCTTGTATACCTGGTGCAGCAATTATAGCGTTTTTTCAATCATGGAATTTGTGATACCCTGTAGAAGTAATAGTTACACTATCGAGTTTAGAATTGAAATTAAACTTTAGCCTTATCCTTCTTCAACATTCATTTTCTGTATTCGCCCCATTATCTTTCCTGATACTCGAGAAACACCATTTTATTGCGTAATATGATTTTATGGAAATTTGATATTATCCAAATTCAACAACGAAAGAACGAAACAGAATGCGTCACAAGTTGAACAAAACGGTCAGTAGTGAGTATTTTTGCCTCAGGCAAGAATAACGTCTTGGCGAAGACGGCCCATACTCAAAATAAGAAATCTAAATTTTGGTCCAGGTCTTTCCAAATTTGAGACAGTCTCTGTCGTGTATCTTCCAAGTAACGTTCCTCTGGTAATTTTGTCCCAAGAATTGCCAGAGATTCCCAATGGGATTTAAATCCGGGCTCCGAACTCTGGCTATGCCAAAAATCCTGACACTATTTAGGTGGTTATATAATCTCCAATATGTACCTTTCAACTGTAAGGCTTCCATTTATGATCACAATTTCCATGCGACCAGTCAGAGAAATGTATCCCCAGACCATATACTGCTACTCTGAGATGTTGTGATGAGGCAACACTGCGATATCACCGATGATCCATCGCTGCGATGTACAGAAGCAAACACATCTGCGAAATGATATCTCTGAGATGTCGTGGTATACCTATTATCACACCATGTTTGAGGAAACTTTTTTTTTTCGTTTAACTGCGACGCGCATCACATCGTAGTTTTATCGCAAAACACATCGCTTTCCATCACAAACTACATATCGCAATCACATAGCAAAAAATATGTCGCTGTCATATCGCATACCACTTATCGCAGTGAGGTCGCATGGATGAAACTTGAGTGGGACAAAATAACATCCCTCTGACATCGCAGCGACGTCTGAAATGCGATATCGCAGGTCAGAATTGTTACATCGCTGGGATATCTGTGTGATGTAACTGTGTTTGCTGGGAGGGTATTACAAATTTCATGAATTTTGATTGTTACTTCCGGTATTAATCAAAAAGAGGTAGGTCATTGTGCGAATACAGATTGAAAGCCACTATTCAGAAGGAGTTGACCTGCCATTCGAAACAAAAAACGTTCAAATCGGACAAGTAAATTTGACGAATATGTATCTCAAAGTTTTGGATACTTTTTTACGTTAATTCATTGGAGAAGTGTAGTTCATTGATTGATTAGGACCAAAAGTGACACTTTTTGACAGAATAAACTTACCTTGGCTTTCAGAAAACTACATAATGCTGCCAAAGGTCCAAGTGGATTTACGAAATCCAGGATCTCCAAGTCAAAGTGGTCCACTGCCAAAACAAGTGAGTTCTAAAACAAATAATTGAATACCCAAACATTTACACCTGTTGTTTTTTTGTTAGATGGGTGACGATTCCAAGAGAGGAGACTCGAAAAGCTGGGGAAACGGTAGAGATTGGAACCTCGCAAAACCCCGAGAAGGCGGATGGGTCCGAATATGGCCACTGGCCTTATTAGAAGCTCCCATCAATAAGAGCAACAATATCAATAGTAATGGGCATATAAAAGCTATGGTTCAAAAAGTGAGAGAGAATTTATTGTTTAGTTCATGATGAGTGGTAAAAGAATGCTATAATTTTTAGGTTTCAAAATTCACGAAGAAAGCGAAAGATCTGGCCAAAAAACACCCGACAGCTTCGGAAAGCCAGCTGAGTGAGTATCTTCAGGAAGAGCTGGAAATACATGGAGACATCTGGATTCCACCAATTTGAAAGAAAAATCCGCAAATAAAAATTCATAAACTGCCGCTATTGCCAAATTTATGTTAAGAAGCTGAAAACATTTGACATTTCTATTGCTGACAACTTTTACGATCTCTGCTTCATTGAAATGTAATTCCTCACTTTGTGTTACAGCCAATCTGCTTAAATATGATATAACTGTTAAACTTTTCTCGATTTTTGTTAATGAATATCCACTAAGAAATAAAACTAACCCTACAACTAAAATATTTATTTATACAGGATATACTGAAAGCAAACAATCCAAATATTTCATATTCCTTTCAATGGCACAAATCACAATAATTTGGTATGATATAACTTCACATAAAATATTTCTTTCCATTATTCAACTCTAAAAACATCCACAAAACCTATGAACAAAATTTACAAGGTGAGATGACTTATTTTTGGCTCTAGCTATACATAAAATAAATAAATAAAATACACATTACCCTATTTTCTACTGTTATTAAATTAGATAAGATGTGGACAACGAGACGATGAAAATAAAGAACATTACATTCAAAATTAGCTAGCAAAATTTGCATATTAACAAAGTTATGCGTTTCAAGCGAGAATATGGTAACGATTGTGGGATAGCTCAATTTTCAGCGAGCGTGGTTCTTGCAGAATGGACGTCCGCCTTTGGCAAAGAAGCTTTGTCCTTCCAAATTCTTCTTGCACATCTTGAACAAATATGTATAAAACCATTAAAATTGTAAAGTAACGGCAAAAATTTTCACTCTACTAAACGTAAGGTCAATGTCAAAGTCAAAAATTCAAATATTCGAAAAAAAATATGTAGAATATTTGAGCAAATAGAGAACCTCAACTTATCGAGAGACTCCCAACTCTGACCTCACGCTTCAGTGGTGGGGTTCGGTGGACAATAAATAATATTAGCCCTCATTTTCTCACATCGTAGGCCGCACAGTTTTGGATTTTCCGAACGCACTGACCAGCAAATTAGAAGCGACAATGTAACAGTCACCCTGTATTTGAAAAGCTATAAACAGATTGCATCGAACGAATTTCTACGGTTCGACTAGAATTGCAAAATCAGCGTTTTGAACATTAGAACGACTTGGGAATAGAGAGAGACGAAAGAAAGATCAGGGAGTCGGGTCGAGATATCGAAGAGGAGTGAGCGTGAGATATTGACGTCGAGAGATCGGTTTCGGAATACGCGAAATCAGCCCTGAAGGGTAAAACTTAAGATGCGAAATCGGTGTTAAAGTTTAAATTATGGTTTAATCTTCCATTCATATTTTTGAATATTCAATTTGCGCGACTTGCAGATTGATTTGGTTTTGGGTATTTTTTTTTTAATTAAAATTCAATTGATATTTATACTGCCGCGAGAACGCGAACGCGTTAATATAGAGTGGTACTAATTTGTTAATGTGAATATATAGGGAGAAAGAAGGGTCTGTAGCTTAACCTATAGGGATGGTTATACCAGGTCGTCGTTGATGCAGAGTTATTTGGGTGAGATCAGATCAATTTTATCTGCTTATCGTTTGGATGCAGGGAAAGCTTCTTTTCTATGTTATTATTAAGATAAAATTAATTTTTTTTCTCTTTTATTGAGAACCATTTTCCAAATCTTTTAATTGTTGTTTGTTTGAACGGGTTCTATCTTTCTTTTGGTTTTTTTGTTATTTTTTCCTCTTTCTATTGTCATGTTCTGTTTTTGTGTAATAAGTTGTTTTCAATAGTGCAATATAAGTTTGGTTATTTTCCTTTTGAAGTAATGCGTTTGAATACCAATTACCCCTAAAAATATACCCTAGATCCAAACGAATCTGCTTTACAGCGGTACAGGGCTACGAACCCCAGGCATCTCGAACCAGTGGCTTTTATAAATTATATAATATCCGTCCTAGTGCGGACAAACACTAGGTGGTGGCAGCATATCTACAGGGGTTGACGGACTTCCAGGGTTGTCCTGGAGTTCTTTAGCATCGTCGTACGAAAAGGGTCAGGCTGACAAGTGGTCAGTAGTCTCATCAGAGTGGAGGTACGAGAGACGACACAACTTGAGAAGGCGACAAATGAGAGATATGGATATCATTATACTTAAAAAATCTATTTTTTAATTATTATCCACAGCTATCATATATTGAATAGGTAGCTGGAGGTTACAATGGTGGCAGCCAAAGTGGGATTTAGGGTATCAGTGTAGGGTATTGATATATGGTATAAATTCGGGATATTGATGTAATTGATTTTTTTTCTTAGAGTTGTGACAAAAATAGTTCTATAATGACACAAATCGGTCAGGCACAACCTGCTTTGGACCCGGTTGCTGTCAGTTTGGGGATGATAGCCAATACGGTCGAACCATTTTCAGGAAGAAGTAATGTTAAGAGGTATTTTGAGAAATTAGAACAAAGGGCAAAATTAGATAAATGGACTAGAGAAACAACATTAGATATTGTTAAATTTCGGTTGGTAGGAGACGCCTACGTATATTATCGGACAGAACCGACATTAGAAACTGCCAGTTATGACGATTTTAAGGCAAAATTTATTAAAAGATTTTCGACAGTGATTATACCAGGACAATCATTAATGAATTTGAATAGATGTTATCAACGACATGATGAGGACGTCACCCAGTATGCAACTAGACTCAAAATGATAGGAATGAATATTTTGGAGGAAGATTTGATGAACGCTACTGTAGACGAAACACCCGGTATCAAGAAAAAAATAGAACAGTTGATTCTCAATCAGTTTAAAATGGGAATGAACAAAAATCTCTTGAAAAATGTGGGTTCTTTATTCATGCGAACGCAGAATCTGACTATTGATAAAGCGGTAGAATTGGCACGATTTGAAGAAATGAACGAATTGATGTTGAAACCGCGTTCTGAGAGAGTTAATGTGAATACAGTGCGCACGGAGGGCTATACTCGAGGCGCTTGTTACCAATGTGGACAGACTGGTCATATGGCTAGGGATTGTAGAAATACTTCAGGAAATACTTCAGGAAATACTCCAGGAAATACTAGGGAGCAAAATAATTCAAATTTTAATAGGAGCGGTTATTCGAATAATTTCAATAGAAGAAATGATAGTAATTTTAGAAATTGGAATCAATATGAATCAAGACCGCATAATAATGATTATAATTTCAAGGGACAACGTAGTTATTATAACGCTAATGATAATCAGGGTCAGGGAAGAGATTGGAATAATAAAACCAGGGGTAGAAATTTTCAGACAGGAAACTATGAAGTAAATGCTGGATTTAATAAGGAGATGGAAAGAGTGAATAATAGAAATTTCTGTGGTGATAGACCAGGAAATTTCATGGATAATGAGGAAGGAACATCATCTTTTGGTAATAAGGGTCCATCTGTAGCTACCGGGGCTACTCGAAAATTATTAGGTACTAATAATGAAGGATTTCACCGCAATGATTATGATCATTTAAACGAGAAGAGCATTTCTTCCAGGCCTCGAGAGGAAATGCAAAATTAGAATCTTGTCCAATATACCCAGAAGGAAAAAGTGCTAAAACAAATTTTCAAATACCCATATTAAGCGAATTAAGTAATCAGGAACATTTTGGAAGAGTGAATTTGTGGTTGAATGGAATTTTGGTAAACTTTTTGATAGATACAGGTTCCGCGGTCACTTTGATAAAACAAAATAAATTGAGCAAATCTGTGGAAATTTTTCAAAATTCGGAAGTTAATTTATGTGGCATTACTGGGCATAATGTTAATGTGCTAGGGACTGCCATCGTAAATGTTAGTTATTCAGAAAAACTCATATCTGATCATTTTGCTATTATAGTTTGTTCCAAAGATGTGCCTTTAGAAGCGGAGGGAATTTTAGGAAGAGATTTTCTCAGTAGAAATGGGGCGAAAATTTGTTTTAGAAGTAATATGTTGAAAATATGGGGAATAGAAATATCAATGCAAGATTTGAGAGGTGAAAGAAAACTTGGAACTGATGACGTAGAGGAAAATAATTATGGATTAAATATGACTACGGTGAATACGAGAGATGTGCCGAAAGATAATTATTACTCAGATGAAAGCGTGAATGAAAGTTTAATGGAAAATGATGACATACCATTGAATAATAATAAGAATATTGAACAAACGATACTCGAATATAATGTACAGGGGGAACGGAAAGAGAATGATAATAACTGTCCTGTAGTTAAGGAAAATCATAGGGCTAATAACGTTAGTATTGATGATTACGAGAATATGTGTAAAAATAGTGCAAAAATAACAGATAAAAAGGATAGTTATGAGGAAAATGGGATGGCAATAACATTAGAAGATGACAAATGTGAGGACAATAGGGCAAAGAAAGAGTTAGGATATGTTAGTAGGAGTAATTTTGAGAATACTAAAGATGAATACCAGGGGGATAGAAGAAGTAGAAAGATGTTAGATGACAAAAGGATTTTAAAAGTTAATAAACATAGGGATTGTTATCATGCCGATTTCCAGAAACCTTGTTTTTTGACTCTAAGTAAGGGAAAAACAGGGGATTCGATGAAAGGGGTTGATACTACAATTGATGCGGTTGAAATTAGTTCTTGGACTCTAAGTAAGGGAAGAACTTCTTCAGCTGTCAACGGTGGTAAAGATGAATTAGTTGTACCAGTGGGTGGAAAGGTAATTTCAGATTTAAAAGGAAATATAGTTGAAAATAGGGACTCAATAATAGAAAGAAATAAGAGTGATTATGGTAGTGGTCAAAATAGTCACGGAAATGATATATTGAAGCAAAAAGAGAATTCGATACAGGGTGATATCAATGAGGATAATGTAATAAAGGAAGTTATAGAGAAAAATGATCGCGAAAACGAAATAGAGATATATCGAGCAGAATGTGTTGATAAGAAGAAAAAATTTGAGGATTTTATAGAAAACAAAAGTGAGCAAATAGCGTTTGATAAGATGTTGAAGGCGGACGGAAAGAGTAATCTGAGTAGTTATAATAAACAAATAAATAGTGGCGATAAGTTTGAGTCGGTGAAAAATGCACGTAAGCAGAATGGTGAGAATCAAGTCACAGTTTCGATTCCACGGAGCGAAAACGCTGATGAAGATAATGAGTACTCAAAAGTGATCGGAACAATGAGTCATAATGAACCCGATTGTCCCAAGAAAATAAGTCTACATGTTTGTATTTTAAATGATATGGAAATACCCGAGAAATGCGAAATGGATATTGAGGTTGTTTATTTAAACAAAAATCATTTCGAAGCTGAAGAATTGATTTTTGTTGAACCAGTAGAAATAAATGTACCAGGAGTGTACGTAGCAGCTATGGTAACAAAAATAGAAAATAATACAGTGCGCATTATAAATATGAACAATTATTCGGTGAAATTGAAGAAAAATACTCTAGTAGGACATTATGAAAACTATACAGGGGGAAGTCAAAAAGTAGTGGGTAAAGAGGTTCAAGTGAATGTAATAACGCATGAAGACTATGACTGGATTAGTAAGGAATTTGATTTTTCTCATTTGAATGAACGAAATCAACAATTAATGTATGAATTTCTCAGCAGGTATAGGCGTTTATTTAGTGATAATGAAAATTTTCTATCATGTACCCATAAGGTTCAGCACAAAATTGTTACGGATAATGTGAATCCAATCGCGAAACGACCTTACAGGGTTCCATTCCATCAGCGGCAAATATTACA